AATTGCACAAAACGCATGATCGCACCGGCTAGTCTGGTGCGCGTTGCCATTTATTTTTTTTTTTTTGCTAGAATTTGACTGCTTTTGAAGTCAGGTTTAGCTTCTTTCGGTTTGCAACTGAGGGCAGTGTGAATTTTATACCTCATTGATTGCGTCTGTTCCCTCTGCCCAGTTTTCTGAGCTTTTTCTACCCTCATTTTTTTTTTTTTTTTTTACTAATTTTTGGAATAATAGGGCACTTTTTCCACGATTTCTTATATTATTTTATTTGTGGAGGCATTTTTTTATTTACACAAGAGCACATTTTAAACATGTTTTCACATTTCTACTTGTATGTTTTAGTTTTTGCATCCTCTGCAGGAGTTTTGCTTAGGAACCCAACAGTGAAAAATATCTCGCTGTCTGCGGATCGTTTTCGAGATGGCATTGACGCTCGTTCAAAACAGATCACAGAATGGGTTACAAAAGCATCGGAAGAAGCGAGCAATCCAGTTGCATCGACCTCATCAACCGCTGACACAAATGAAAACCAAAAAGCTGAGAACAAAAAAGATGAAAGTACGCATACGAAAGCAAAGAAAGAAGACAAACCTGCAGAAACATCGGTTAGTGAATCAGTTTTCGCATTCTCAGCAGCTTTGTTCAGCTACAAATAAAAATGTCGCCCGTGGCTGTTTTTCGTTCTTTATTTTGCATGCTTTTTTCTATTATGTGTTGCAGCTTAGCATAAATTTCATGCATTTTATGATGTAGCTTCGCCATTTTCATAGCACTGTTTGCCCTGTTTCATCTTGCTTATCGCTGCTGGCTAATGCTGCGCATGCTTAACAGAATATTTTTTATCGCGGCTGCTCAGTTGACTAGCAGCTTTCAGCCCGTAAACTTCTGTTAGTTTCGGCAGTACTTGAGCATTTGCAGCAGTGGGCGTATATGTTAATGATGTCGATGTAATGATAATATCGATATTAGAAAGCTTGGATTTTTTGGTTATTATATATGGTAATGGTAATAGCAGCTCAGAATCGAAAGCATGACGTAGTTGCATCCAGTGCATGGGAGCATTCCAGTAGCATCAGTAACATAGGATACCTACACTGACAGCTTGTACCATCTTCGGTGATAACACTAATGCATTTCTAAAACAATTACTAAACCTCGGCCTGGCCGCGCGCCTTACACGACTTGCGAAAATTCTTCCTTGGTGGTGATGGGTGGGCTGCTCCATGATGAGTGCCGCTGTTTATTTTTCGTAAGTCAAAAAGATTTTTTTCAAATTTTCCTTAGACTGTTAAGTTGTTTCTTTCTGTTTACTGCTACCTCGAGCTCCTCCTGACTAGCACCCTTGTTCCCCTCCTCTGTCATTTCCCCAATCCGTGCTGCCGGAGCTGCATCTTAGCACCTACCAACCGCCACCCTTTAATCACGTTAACCTCCTAAATCCATCCCCTTCCCACTCCCCCACACCCTGCGCTGCCTGGCAAAAAGCCAAGCGGCGCCGGCAAACGGTGTCGCGAAATAGCATTAGCGGAGAAGTTGGGGCACCTCACAGTGGTGGCCGAGCCGACATTTAGTAATTGCTATTTCTAATGCTGTGGAGGAAATTATCGTTCGTTTATTCCTTTTGTTTTGGGTTTTTGTTCTTACTTTCACTGCTTTTGTCACTCGTTCATGTAAGGTGTGAGTTTTGTATGTAGTGCTAAAAACACTGTAAGCGAGTCTTTGTTTGCAGACAATTTCCTATTTTCTACGAAGCAAACAGCAGGAAGAGCAGAATGAGGAAGTAGACGAAGAAATACAAGTTATCAGCGAAAATGTGAAGAAAAAAAGACCCACTGCTATTCTGCGTCCAAAGACAATAGGTGCAAAACGTAAAACGAGGAAACCAACAGCTACAGGTTCACCAAAAAAGAAAATTTCTGAATTTTTCAAAAAACAGTAAAGTCGTAACAATTTGTATGTATGCTATTACGTGCATGTAACTCCTCGAAAGTTTAGGAATTTTTTAGAAAAAGCTGTGAAGTCCCATCTTTTTCAAGGAATTACTGGTAAGGCCTTATTTTGTAGCTTCGAAAAGCGGAAGCACAGATAGTAGCAAATGCTAATAGCAACCACCCGTGGGCAAGGCTGTCGGTGGCTTCATGTTCCGGGGTTGCTTACAGGCAAAAGTAGGGCCGGTTTGACTTTCTGGCATATGACAGTACCAATTCGCTATTGAAGTGTATGAATGCATCGTAGAGCGATGGGTTGTCCCACTGGCAGAGACAGACCCCTCTGCTTACTGCATGACAACAGTGCCACTTTCCGCTGTGTTGTGCCCATGGCATCGGTGGGAGTACCGTCTAATAATTCGCATTGTGCAAAACTCGTTTATTTTTTATTATGCGTTTTGTGCTGTGTAACAGCAGTACAAAACGCATATTGTTACGGGGTTGTC